GGGAGACAAGGAACATTCCCCACAGAGATGACAGAGAGAACAGCCTTTGCTCTAGAGTTAGCATCCTGAATGCTAACATCCTACTTCCTAAATGCTGAGAAAGTAAATTTCTGTTTGTTACAGTAAAGAAACAGTACAGTTTTACTCCAACACATAGGAGGCTGCCAGTAGTCAGAAGTGATTTGACAGCAACTATTTTGGTATATTTTAAGAAAGGGATAGACAAATATTTAAAAACAGACATAAAAACACTTGTCATAAATGGAAAAAGAACTTACACCTTAGATTTTAATAAACTTCACAACTTCTGGTCAACAAGATACTCTTAAGAGTGAAAAAGCCAATCACCCAAGCATTTGTTCAATGTATATCTGACAAAAGATTCCACTTCAAAAAAGTAAAATGGACAAAAAAGGTGCTTTACAAAACAGATATCCAAATGAATATTAATCAAACTTTTAGTCCTCAAAGAAATCCAAATTAAAACCCTAATGAATTACCCTAATGGAATACAGACAATAGAATGTCTAGAATAAAAAAGGTATAAATAGCACAGCTAAGAATATGGAACACTATTCATGGCAACATAAATTAATAAACAAGAATCAGTTCAGAAACTATTTAGCAGTATTTATAGTAGAGCTAAACACTTAATGCTTTACAATCTTGAAATTCCAACCCTAAACATGCATCAAACAGAAGCACATACATATATTGAAGAAATTATGTATATAAGAACATTCCCAGCAACTGTTGTAAAAATGTCAAGCTGGAAACTGAAAAGTTTATCCGTAGTAAACAAAACAAATTACAGTACATTAAAACACAGGTCCAGCAACAAGAAAGAACAAACTGCTAAACATAAAATGACTAAATTCTACAAACATCATGTTGAAGGAAAGATATTAGAGACCACTGCAGTCCATACTATTTACTACTAGTTCATGTAGCAATGTTCATCACCATTGCGTGGGAAGCAGCTCTTAGCTGACTCTCCAGCTGGATTTCCAAGCTGTTAAATTGAGGGGAAATGATCCATCTTTTTCTGATGAGGGTGCTGGTGGATTCAAACTGCCAGAGAGGTGCAGCTCTTAGCTTAGCAGCAGCAATGCCTATGGGTTACACAACCAGAGCTCCCTATATGCAATACTGTTGTTGTCAGATGTAGAATTGGAAACACTCATAATTCTATAGGGAGCTTTCAGAGGTAGTAGCTTGCACAGTAGGAAATGATACATCTTCCTCCCGAATGCAAGTGGTGGATTTCAACTATGAGGAGCCTTACCACTAAGCCACCAGAGCTCCCTGCATACAACACTAGTTGCTGTTGTTGTTGTTAGGTGCCATCGAGTTGTAGACGCCTATGAATGAAAGTCATATGGCATAGTCTGCCTATGAACGAAAGACCGGAACACGTGTATAACTTTCATTATTTTTCCAAGTTCATAGGGTTTCCAGAAGCAAGGTATTTTGAAAGTGGATGCTACTCCTGCTTCCTAGCTTGTTTTAATCGGGGAGCTCCACCAAACACTGTTCACCATGGGTAACCATTCAAGCATTTGAAACAGCAGTGTCACAGTGTTTAGCATCACAGCAACCATAAGTTACCTCTGTACAGCAAGTGGACAGACAAGTGCAAAAATACAATAGTACAATAGTAAATGCCATTTATTATATAATATATATAACAATGCTGTTGTTATTAGGTACCTTCAAGTCCACTATCACTCACAGTGACCCTATAAACAACAGATCTGAATCTATGCTAGAGCCCACTGTTAGATTTAATATATCAATCCATCTTGTTGAGGATCTTCGTCTCTCTCACATTTCCCCCCCTTTTCCAGCATGATTTCAGACATGCTATATCCCCTCAATTCCCCAGATTCAGAACTGACTCACAGCTGGCCCTCCAGAGGGTTCACAGAGAAGGACAATGCTCATCTTTCTCCTGTGGAGCAGCTGGTGGATTTGAACTCTCCACCATTGGGTTGGTAGTACAACTCCCTATCATATATTGTTGTTGTTGTGTACTGTCGAGCCAGAATCGGCCTATAGCTGACCCTCCAGCAGGTTTTCAAGTTAATTGCATGGGAGGAGATTATATATAAAATTAAAAACCAGAAACTACTTATCTGTGGTATCCCCGACCAGGTGTTTGTATGTGTGGTGGAAGGTAGGGAGAATCCTCATCAGGAGGACTTAAGGAAGGATTTGAATTACAAGTAACATTCTAATTTTTAAGCATGAGTGCATCCATTTGTACAAAAGAACTTATATATCAGATTATTTTAAAATTGAAAACCTCTATTTGATAAAACTTCTTAGTGAACTTTTATTACTAAGGTAAAAAGGTAAGCCATTAAGATTCACCAAGAGTGTGTGTGTATAAAATTATTATTATTATTATTATTATTATTATTATTATTATTATATCATTTGTACCCTTCTCTCTGTGGATACTACATCTCTAAAAAAAAAAGTCCTACAGGGACATTATAAATGAGGTTGAGATAGCTTTTACTAGGAAATTAGGTTAAGATTGAGAAATAAAATCAAGCTAGAAAAAGCATGTTCATTTTCCTTCTACAATTATAATTTGGATCCCATTTAGTTTCAATAAGTCAAATACATAATATGGCAAACTCATAGATACCTGCCAGTTTGCAAACAAATTCCTTAGTTTGCTAAACTCCCCCCCCACAAAAAAAATAAACAAACAAACAAACCAAATCCAAACAAGCAAAGTAACTGTGCAGTGCAGAGGAAATACTGATTTAGTATTTCAGTGCAACTCTTCTCTACATATTCTTCTCCACAGCATAGAAATGATAAAATTCAAAGAACCTCAGAATAAAAGCACAAGTAGCTTTTTCCATTATTTCAGTCTAAAAGTCTAAAGCTAAAAAAAGCCAGGAGCAGTCTGATATATTGACGTTATCAGGATAGCAGATCACACAGACAGAGGACCAGAGCCCAGCTGGCAATACAGAGGATGCCTGTGCTAGATGCTCCCCTGCAATAAACATGTTACCCAAGAATGCTGAAGAGATGGTGGCAAGCAGGGTAGGTATGTTATCAAGGACTTGAGTGCCATAACCCAGCTACATGCTAGCATGACAAGAAAAAGCACCTTATTTAATAATAGAAGTCGTTTCCATGTTGTACCTATTACACAGTTAAGGTGAAAATACTTATCATAAACATAAAATTAATGTTATTTAACCTTCCATAGGCGCCCTGGTAGTACAGTGGTTAAGCAATGGGCTACTTACTGAAAGGTAACTGTAAGGTAGGCTTTTCTTTTTTAATTTTTTTATTATTATTATTAATTTTAATGAAAATTTACAGAGATAAAAAGTAGGCTTTTCAAACCCACCAGCTGTTCCTTGAAGAAAGATGTGGGCAGTCTGCTCCCATAAAGACTTATGGTCTTGGAAAACATAGGAAGTTTGTCTCTGTCCTGTAGAACTGCTATGATTTGAAATTGACTGGAGAGTAATAAGTTTAGAAATTTTTAAAGTTTTTTTTTTTAAAGAAAATGTGAATACTATTACATTTAAGGAGCTCTGGTGGCCTAATGATGAAGAGCTGAGCTGTCAACCCAAAGGCAGCTAGTTCTGACCCACCACCTATTCTATAGGAGAAAGATGGGGATTGTTATGTGATAACCCACCAGAGGGTCAGCTATGATATGATTCTTACTTGACAGCACACTACAAATAGGACATCAGTTTCATATTATTGAAATGAACTAGCATAGCAGCAACAAAGTTTTTGACACATAAAGAAACAAAATTGGGAGTCTGTGTAGATGTGACTGGACATCAGACCATCATTTTTAAGGTAAAGACTACAACTAGAGTGTGTACCCCTCCTCTGCACAAAAAAGAATATATCAAGGGTAAGAAAAAGGCCTCTACAAGAGTCCGTTTAGAGACTGACATTTTATTCTACTCCTGGTATTGCGGTCTACTTTATAAAAAATTAGTAAGTCACTCCAAGCTCTATCTATTTGAGAAAGGTTAGCCCAGACAGATCATCAGAGGGAACTCTGGCTTAGTCCACAGAGAGTTCTACTGCTAACCCAAATGCAGCACCTCTCTGATGGTTTGAATCCACCAGCAGCTCCAGGGGAGAAAGAACAGCAATCTCTTCCTATATCATTTACAGCCTCCGAAACCCACCAGAGGTTCAGCCCGCAAATGCTTGTGCCTCAATAGCAGTAAGCTGAGTTGAAGATCTTTTGAAATTTACTTTTTTCCCCTCTGTCTGAACTAGAATGTTGTTAATTACTACAAAAAAAGAGAGGTTGTAGCATCAATTAACATGAGAACTGAGAACTGGCTGATCTCTTGGCCTAAGCAGTCCCTGGACTGGGGATAAGTTTTAGATAGGAGCATATTTACTTTCCAGACCCAGTGAACGAGCATTCTGTATCTTCTGGAATACTATGTATTCTATTACATAGTGAAAGGTGGGAAATAAAAATTAGTTCAATGTATGAATTGATTTGTTCATTTTTTTATACAATCAAGGACTGGTAGGTCCTTTGTATCATAATATAATTAAGGGCCAATATTTAGCAAGACTTACTTAACCAGTGCTAAGATCTTCAAAGGTTCTATAAAGCAAGAAACAACTTTTGGTGATTTCACATTTTAGGGGGGGAAAAAAAACATAACTGTTTTAAGGACTAGAAAATGCATTACTAATTAAGCTTCTTTAAGGGCAGAATAAAGTCTTCCCTAAAAAGGGCAACAAATATTTCATTATCTCATTAATTATCTTTAAGACAACCAAGAGGTGAAATTTAAACTTTGAAGTCTATTATCAAAAAGTAATGCACTCTTAATACTCCATATTTCACTGTATTCTTACCTTTTTATTCCAAACCTACAGAAAATCAGGAATAAAGAGCAGAAACATCTCAAAATCATATAACTAAAAGCTATTTTTTTTTTAGAAAAACAACAACAAACCAAACATAAACCTCTTACCTGAGCATGAAAATTAGACATAGTCGTTGTCTCTATATCCTTCTTTCCCAATATCTCCATTTTCACTGGTGAATTGGGAAAATTGAATGAAAAGTAGTCTAAAAAGTCAGGTAAATAAGTAGCTGCCCCATGAACAATACCCATGACATAGAAAGCTGCAGAGTTTTCATTTTCACTGAACACCAGTCCCACAAACTCTTCGGCAAACCTCTCCATCTCCACAGGAGACAAGTGGGAGAGTTCATTACTGTAGGCATGAATAACTGACGCACCTCCATTAGGCTGGTGCTCAATATGAATGAGCTCTTTGAATTCCAAAGTGTCCAACCTTCTGAGGTTTTTCTGAACCCGTGGCTCCTTTAATGAGACAAATGGTAACTCACTGTTGTCTGGAATTTTGGAATCATAGTTCTTGGTATCCAAATTCTTTCCAATGTAATCTTTTATGCTATCACTTAGAATCCCTTTGGCTTCTTGATCTTCAACATCAGATAGCAATCCTGAGCAGATGGTTTGAATAGATTTGCTATACATTTTTGGACGCTTCCGTTTTTCATTCTCTTTGTGTTTCTTTTTCTTTTTCTTCTTCACCTTCTTAATCTGTAAATCTTCTATGTTAATTTTTGGTTTCTCCTTCCCACCTGTTGGGAAAAATTTCTTTTGAAACTCCTTATTTCCATTACCAAAAACCCCATGTTTTAGGAAATGTTTTATAATAAACAAGCAAAATTTACTCAGATTCAGGATCTAGCTGAACTCATTCTACTCAGTATTAAGATTTTGTTGGCCTCCCTTATTCCCCCAAAGAAAACAGTGCAGAACAAAAGTTATTCACATGGTATGTCGCACTGTTCTGACAGGTAGTGTACGTTTAGTCAGTCTTTACTGATGTAGTGAGATGGGTGAATATTTTAGAAAACAACCTCTAAATTGTATAAACTAAAAATCAGAAATGAAAAATTGAATAAAGGTTAATATAAAAAAAGCTCCCATCTCGGCTATTTCTCTCCAATATATATTATCAATTTTATATTATTCAAAGATTTTAAAATCATACCGAATTGTCAAGATTTATAAATCATAAAGAAAAAGACATGTATAGTGTAACAGCAACAAACAGTTGATTCTTTAGTTTTTATCCATATTTCCTCTTTATTAAACATTTCTTACCTCTAAAGTAGGACATTTGAGGTCCACCACAGTTTACCAAGTTCCTAGTGAAGACTCAACAAAGTTATCATAGAGAAGATGGCATAAGTTCTGATGTTCTAAGTTCAAAAATTAGCCATCTACTAGTAAAGAGATAAATAAAAAATTAAAGAAAAAGATACTAAGGATCAAAATATATTATTAATGAACATCTGTAGCTAAAAGAAAGTAGGCTGTGCTTTCAGGAATACAGAAGTTCAAAGACCAAAGGACTAACCCACAGAGGCTACAGTGTGTTGCAAGTTGATTTTGGCTCTGTGACCCTCTAGACCAGAGCAGAACTGCCCCTTAGGATTTTCCAGGCCTGAAATCTTTACAGAAGCAGATCAACAGATCTCTTCTCCTGCAGAACAACTGGTGGGTTAAAATTTCCCTCAGCAGCTAAGAACTTAACTACACAGAGCAATGATGGTTATCATCAATTTTAAGTATCCATATAAATGTGTAACTTATCACAGTTTATGCATTTCTAGTGAAAAGAAAAAGGTAAACACTCTCAATAAATAGTGGGATTTCTATCCTAAAGGTTGTTTTTGGCATCCTGAATCCACAATAGGTCCCATGCGAGAAAGATGGTCAATCACATTCCCTGTGATTTATGGGCTCAGAAACCATCTGGATGGTCAAGCCATGAGTTGGTTCAGACTAGACAGCAATGAGAGAGTTGAGGGGAAGAAGTCACTAAAGGAACACTTGAAAGAGGGCACCACTCACTGCTTCTGCTATCTTATGTTTACTAATAATCTGTCAAGTATTCAATCCTTCCACCTTGCTTCCAATTTTTATCTTCTCATCTTTTTTCCTTTTTGCTTTCAGTAAATGAAATATCCTGCCTACTTTTCAAAAATAAATCTCTCCCATCCATTCAAAGTAAGGAGCTCTAGTGGCTTAGTGGTAAGGAACTAAGATGTCAACACAAAGGTACACAGTTCAAATCTATGAGCTGCTCCGCAAGAGGAAGAAGTGCAATCTCCTTCTGTGTTATTTACTGCCTCACAAAATCCACTGCTGGTTCAGCTATGGTTTGGTTCTGACTTTGATGGTATACAACAAGAAGAATCCATTCCAAATGACAAGTTTTTCTCCTCTTACTCTGGCCACCAAACTCTTTTTCAAAGAACCACCTATGCTAAAAAAAGAAAAAAGAACAATCTATGCTAGTATTTTCCTGTAATTATCTATTTCTGTCCTTTTAACTCTAGTTGTTTTCAGTCTATTCAAATTTTTCTTTCCCAGAAGGCTTAAGTACAAAATCGAATGGTATTTTCTCAAATTGTTCCTCCCAACAGAGCCAAGCATTGGTAGCGTTATCTAGCTCATCTTTGACTAATTTTACTTCCTTGATACTATGTACTATAGCTAGTCCTCAAGTTACAAAGATGACTAGGTGGTTTTGTTCTGTTTACATCCTATCCTTAGTAATACATACTACAGCTATACATCACTTAACATCTGTAATAGAATAGAACATTAAGGAACTTGCAGGCAGTTCCCATATAATCTATTGTTAATGTCCAGAAGAATCTTATTATATTAAAACCTTATGGGAGTCTAACGGACAAGGGAGACCTGTGTTGCTCGGTGTATGGCTGAAGGCTACACTGCCAACTGGATCAAGACTTTCAACACATCTAAGATGGGAAGATAAGGGAACACATTCACAGAGGTGGTCAGAGAGACCACCTGGTAGTATGGGTGCTGGGAGTACAGGTAGCACTTGTGTCCCTTCTGGTGTTCTCAATGGTCACCAAATAAAAAGACAAGCTCCTTAGTATGTGATCAAAACCAATGTCCTCACATTATCTCATGCTCTGGTCAAACTGTACTACTTGTAATTTTTAAATAAAACATACTCAGTCCAGGGTGGTTCAAAGGTAATGGGTTGTCTCAACTACTGCTCACAGTCAATTACAAGTTGACCTACTTGTCTATTCTCACAGCTGTGCTAGTCTTAAAAAATAAATAAAAATTTTAAAAACCACGTATCCAGTCCTACCTCATTTTTTTGCATTACTGGCAAAGGAATTTCTTCTCCTTAAAAAAAACCCTTGCTCTGTCTAGAAAGCACTACTAAATAAAATGACAATTTTAACCTCATTCTCTTCATTTTGTTTGCCCTCATCATTTAAGTTGGAGCTCACTTCACAGAAGAGTTATTATTTGCTTCATTGATAGGATACCTGCACATGTCTTTCTAAACATATGGTATGAATCAAACAAGTTTTATAAGAATTTAGTGTAAAGTTACTTTATTTTCCATCACGTGTCCATCATAGCACCTAGTACATTGTTATAAACAGTCTATAAATGAAAAGACTTCTCTAACCAAAAGAATACCTGAGATTTAAAGGTTTTTCCTTTATCTTTCTTCCAGTCTGGTTTTTCCCCATGATAAGAATATAACTAAATCCAAACACTGGAAACAATAATAAAAATCCTTTCAAATTAATGAGGATTCTGTAAAACAGTTGTTTAATGATCTCTGGTGGCTTAGTTATAAGCCAACTCCAAGGCACACAGTTTGACGCCACTATCTTATCTGCCTGCAGCAGAATACATGGGCAATATCCTCTCATGTGACTTATTGTCTCTGAAAACCCACTGGAGAGTCAGCCATCAATCAATTTCAACTTTTTGTGACAAAATAACAATGTTAACAACAGCCACTTCTGATAATTTACAGATAAGCAAAATGATACCATTATGAAAAGCAGAAACAAAAATTTGACAACACTGTTCACTGGAAATCATAAAATATAAAGTGCTGATTCTCTAAACAGTCTGTTTGTCAGTAGTAAAGAAACATACTTGAATAATGTTAAATTCAGACTTGTTACAGAAAACATCCAAATATCAAAATAATAAAAATAAGACTAAAACATGAGGTCAATCAGACAAAAGCTGAAGGTTTATACATAAAAGCAAAATCTAAATAGGGAGAGAAACCCAATGGGTAAAATAAAAAAAAAAATCTTTTTACAAAACATAAAAGGGCCTAGGTGATTAATAGCATACTTAAAACTATTTAAAAATACATATGAAATCTCACAAAATAGTTTTCCAAAATAAACAGCTTCATTTACAAGAAAAATGTAATATCCTATTTATTACACTTATAGTCAATATATTAAAAAAGTTAAAACTGCAAATATCCATTCATTGAAACACATGTGATTTTGATATAAAATATGCATAACCGTTTAATGACAGTCAGCAATGTCATAATGAAAACTATCAAGTCAGTTAACAGATTTTGAGATAATCATTAAAGAGTTAAATTCTCATAGTAAACAATTAAACAAAATATTAAAAAAATGACACCAGTGTTAAAACAAACAAACAAAAAAAACCATAGCTGCCCTGTTAACTCTTTCCTTACAAATGTCAGCATACAAAGTTGGCCTTCAGTTGCATCCAGAATGTTGTATTTCACTCATGTGGGTTTTTACTACTCTGTGTTAAGAGTAGCTCATTACGCTTATACTAACCATCTTTCAGGAAATTTACGGTTTGGGTCATGCTAAGGAGAGAATGTCTTTGTGACCAATTTCTAGTTGTTGCTGCTGTGTACTGACTGACCTATAGCTGACCCTCCAGAAGACTGCTTATCCTTCTATGGAGCAGCTGGTGGCCTTCAACTGTGTGCCTTTGGGACTGCAGCACAACTTCTCACCACTAGGCCACCAGAGCTCCAAATCCTAGTAAAACTCAAAAGCACTGAGCTTCTAATGAACTTTTCCCTAGTAATTAATATATCACATTCATTGCTACAACTCATTGCTGGACAAATTAAGTAGGTCATGCGTAGATCTACTGGTTGAAGACTCTAGGAATCTAGCTTTCCCTAGACATCACTCTCTGACACTTTTTTCCTTTACTGAGTCTCTCTTTTCATTGTAATAAATCATAATCATGAGTATAACAACATGCCAAGTCTTGTGGGACTTCAATAAATACTATAAAAATGCATTCTTCACTTTTAAGCCAAAATGAGGCACCAGCATGTTATGTAATCTTTAACATCTTTTCACTCAATCTTTCTCTAAAATGTATCAAAATACTCTGGAAAAACTCTTAAAAGCACAAGGTTGACTGGGTAGCTGTTTTCCCATGGAGCCACAATTGTGCAGTACACTATGCACAGAGAGCTGCACATTGCCAAAGAAACATGCGCAGCCTGTGCACCCCTCTTTCACACACCTCCCCCAACTCCCCCCTACACAGGGAGGGCCAGAGGCATACAGGCACACATAAAACCAAAGTGAGATAGTGAAACAGAAAACAGAGAGATGCTGATGCATAACCAGAGAGAGATACTCATACCCAAGTAAAAAGAACCACACACAGAAGTAGAGACAAATATATAAGGCAGAGAGGTTAATGGTTAATTATGAGAAATACTTTTAAAAATAAAATATTCACTGGTATAGCCCAGAAAAAAAATGGATCTGACTCCACAACAGTAATTTTGCTAATTTAACCTTTTCCTTTGAGAAAACATTGATGTTTATCTACTAAGACATCACCATGCTTCCTGCCATGAATTACTTACCTCTGACTCTAGGCTACCAATAACCCTGGACACTGGTTCAACTCTTAATCCACCTGCTCACCTACAAGCTTCATTCACATGTTGTAATGATAAAAATTCTCTCAAAACTAGAACAACTGACTGATCTCACGAGATAACAATAAAACAGAAGGTCCTGGACAGAAAGAAAGGGAAATGTAGAACAAGATTAAAAATCAGAAAAAAAAAAATACTAAACTTAATGGGACAGAAATTGGTAGAGCCCCTGAAACTCGGGTCCTTGGACACTCTTCAAAGCTGGAAGAAATCCCTCTTCTAGGGATCACCTTTCAGCCTAAGAACAGACAGGTCTATAAAGAGAATACTGATGTCTGTGAGAAACGGGCTCCTCAGAACAATCAACTATGAGACCAAAAAGGCAGCACTTGCTCAAAAACAGAGTTCAGAAGGCAGGAAGAGGCAGGAAGATGTCCTAATGGAAATGAAGAGTCCAAAGAGGATGTGGATAAAGTGGTATTAAATAGTAAGGACCACAATCACTACCAAGAGGCAAAATGTTTATAAACTGCTGAATGGGAAATTCTTATTTCTCTCTACACTTCTGCTCGAAACACAATGAAAATATTTTTTTAAATTATTACATGTAAACTTAAAACTCCCCATTAGTAAGCAACATAAAAATTAATAGACATGTGCTTCGTAGTTGGTAGACACCAAATATGGAAGGATAAGAATAAATACGAAGTATGCTTATGTCTTAAACTAATTTGCTCTTTATATAAGGACTTAAGATAATCTAATATTATCATTAAAAAATAAGACTTTTACATAAAAAACATTTTTAACATTTGTATAATTGTGTATGTTCTAGTGGTGGTGGGGGTGGTGGTGGTGGTGATGGTGGTGGGTAGGTGTTACCAAATTGCACCAACGCATAATTGACGCTCCACCAGGTTTTCAGAAGCTATAAATTGCTCAGGAGGAGACTGCCCATCTTTCTCCCAAGGAACAGCTGGTATATTCGAACTGCATACATTTGGGTTTGCAACGCCAAGTCTTTACCACCAGAATTCCATGTATGTATCGACAATCTTATTAAACTTGACGTTATTGTAAAAACAAACAGAAAACTACAAATGATAGAAAAATGACTGGTATGAAATAAGAACTAGCATTTATTTTGGATTTTTAAGCATCATCATCAAGCAATGTCTATGTGTGCCAACAGACTGTAACATGAGAGCTAGAATAAATTCTAACAAGGAGAGAATAAAAAATTGAAGGCTATGAAGAGAAAGGGGGCACACAGTACTAAGTAAAGAGTATATTTGGCCCTTCCCAAATAATCCTTTTGTTGCTCTCTGACATCAGTGACAAAGAATACCTTATTCTTATAGCCTTATTTGAGAAATGGCTACTAATGCAGAGCAAACTCCTTTTGCTGGCTAGTATCAAGAACTTAGACTTACTCAATGTTCACAATTAGACAGTACTGTCTTCCAGATTAATCATACTTTGATGTATGCAAGTCACTGAAGGGAAGAGAAAGTTTTATGAGATTTTAATTATTAAAAGTTGACCTTATGTATATTTTTTAAAAAGATTCATATCCATGGGATAAGCATCTGAAGGCTATATTCTGTACTCAGCAGCTATATGTTATCTTATTTAATCTTCACAGGTCTATAAAACGCAATTAAATTGTATTACTCCATTTTACTGAAAATACATATCCCTGTAATTTCCTATGATCATCTTGTAAATTATAAAGTAAATATACAAACCAGTCTATTTTTATTTTATCATCATTAGGTTCTAACTTAGCTTGGTTCAAAGTATCACTTAAATTTTTCATCTACTCTTAAATTTTTCTGAATCAACCTTGGTACTGCACATTACTAGAAAGCATCCATTATTACTATTTCATTTATATTCCCTACATTCCATTTTTCACATTAATGATTTATTAATCTAGCATTCAAGTAAGAACACAAGAATTTTTTATAAAGTACCTAAGGCATATGACATAGATTCTCAAGGGATAGGAATTTACATCATTATACGTCCTAATGGGTAGGTTTCAAAAAGGAAACCTATTTAATTATACCAATAGGGTAAATTTAAGCAAGTATTTTAAACTGTAATCAACCATTTGCTGCTGTACAACACTACTATAGTTAAACGTGATTCCTGACTCAAAAGCTTACAATCTAATTAGATTAGATAGATCTAATCATATGATTAAGCACATTAGCATGGAAACAAAAGACCAAAAGCAGTAACTAAGTAGGCATCCACTTAAACCACAATGTGCTTTTCCAGGTTTAAAATATATTATAGAAAACAAAGTTTAGTCATGTAGAAAAGAAAGCTTTTATAAAGTGTCACCAAAACCATCTACAAACATGACAAATAATGAAACGGAAATATAGGTTAATACTGTTTATCTAGTCTTAAATAATAAAACCAAGTTATTACATTGCATATGCAGAACTATGGTCTTTTGTATGTAGATTCAAAGGTTTATCAGTCTAGAAGTTGGATGTGTAATTAAGCAAGGTAAAGGTGCTCTGATGAATACCTTTTCATTATCAACTTGATAGGGCAGCTAATGAATTGTCTAGCTGTCTAGCAACTGAATGTCATTGATTCTTCTTTTCTATCTCAAATTCTAAATTAGTTCTGATTTTTAAAACAGGATTTATATTACACTATTCCTCTATGATACATATTTTAAATTGTCTATGGGAAGAAATAATAACTGAATATACTTGTAACAGAGAAGCAATACAAAAGCAAAAGGATATTCTTGAGCATAAAGAGAAGTACACAGTTCAATAGCATCTTTTCTATATTCAGAGAAAGATCTCCCCATAAATTCTAGATGATGATAATCTATTTTGAAATAATTTAAGA